AGGATTCTGGGTGATATTGAGGATCTTCTCAGTGTCCCCTGTACCTGTGAGGTGGCTCAGGTGCCTTTGGGTCTCTCTTGCCCTCCAACCTCCACTGCCAAGTCTAATGCCAACTTATAGTGGTCAAGAACATCCAGCCAGTGCTGGAAGTGATGCGGGTACCTTGTCCAGGTCAGGAATGCCTGGTGGGCCTGCGAATTAGTTCCCACCCATTGCAGACAGCTCCCTTTTGAGGACCTTCAGAAGGCTGTCCACCCCTTCCTGGTCAGGTATGACAGTGGCAGTTGAGGAGTGGGGGGGGCAGAGCAGGACTTGGGGCGATCAGTTGGATTCTTTCAGTGCCTGTAAGAGGTACTGACTGTAGTCATCTTAGCTACTCACTTGTAGGGGGTTCCCAAGATATCTAGGAAGCTCCAGCCAGAAGGAGGTATTACCAGGATGCCATCTGCCTGCTCCAGCCTCTCACCAACCCTATACCTCTCTCAATCTGGCCACACTCCTCAGCAATGCTGGGAACTGTGACTAGATCCATATGGATCATCTGCAAATAAGGATACTTTGACTTATTTTTATTATTTATTTATTTATTTATTTATTTATTTATTTATTTATTTATTTATTTTCCTCTCTTGTCTTACTGCTCTAGCTAAGAATAAAAGCAGAAAAAGTGGGCATCCTTGTCTTGTTCCTGATTCTAATGGAAATGCCTTGAGTTTCCCTCCATTTAGTATAATGTTAGTTATAAGTTTGTTGTATAGCCCTATTATATTATGCTGGGATGTTATTTTTATACCTACTTTCTTCAATGTTTCTATCATGAAGGGATGTTAGATTTTGTCAAAAGCCTTTTCTGCATCTATTGAGTTTATCATGTGATTTCTGTGATTTTTTTTTTTAGCATTATTCTTATTGCAGAGCATTGCTTTGGCTGTCTGAGGTCTTTAAAAATATTTTATGTGCATGAGTGTTTTGCCTGTTTGTGTATCACATATGTACAGTGCCCACAGAGGCCAGAAGAGGGTGCCAGATGCCCTGGGACTAGAGTTGCAGATGGCTATGGGCTGCCATGCGGGTGCAGGGGATCAAAAACAGGCCCTCTTGAAGAGAGGCAGTGTTTTCAACCACCTTGCCATCTCTCCAGTGCCGTATGGGGGGATTTTATGTTTTCACATGACTTTTAAGATTTTGTCTTATTTCTATGAAGAATAGTACTGGAATTTTGATGAGAATTGCCTTGAATCTGTAGATTACTTTTTGTAGGATAGTCATTTTCACAATATTAATTCTTCCAATCCATGATCATGGGAAGATTTTTTTCTATCTTCTAGTGTCTTCCTCAGTGGTGTTTTAAAGCTTACATTATGGAGATCATTCATTTCCTTGGTTAGGTTTATTCCAAGATATTTCATTTTATTTTTTGAGACTAATTTGAATGATATTGTTTCCTTGATTCTCAGTGTGTCTTCCATTGGCAGATAGGAAGGGTACTTGATTTTTGTATGATGTTTTGTATCATCTTGTCTTGCTGGAAGTGTTCATCAGTTGTAGGAATTTATGGTAGAGTCTTTAGGTCTCTCTCTATAGTATCCTGTCACCTGCAAATAAGGGTATTTTCACTTCTTTTCCTGTTTGTATCCCTTTTATTTCCTCTCTTATCTTACTACAAGCTCTGTATAAACCTTCCATCTCTGTGTTGAATAGGAGTGGAGAGAGGACAGCCTTGTCTTGTTCCTGACAATAGGAATGTTGTGAGTTTCCCCCATTCTGCCTGGTGCTGGCTCTAAGTTTACTATATATGTGGCCTTTGTTATGCTGAGATATGTTCCTTCTATTCCTAGTCTCTTCAATGTTTTGTCGTGCAAAGGTGTGAGATTTTGCCAAAGGCCTTTTCTGCATCTGTTGAAACAATTAATGATTTCTGTCCTTGAGTCTATTTATATGCTGTATTACATTTGTTGATTTATGTACCTTAAATCATCCCTGAATCTCTGGAATGGAGTGAACTTGATAATGATGGATGCTCTTTTGATGTATTCACTTCAGTTTGCAAGTATTTTATTGAGAATTTTTGCTTCTATGTTCATAAGACAAATTGGCCTATAATTTTCTTTTGTGTGTGTGTCTTTATTTGGTTTTGGTATCAGGGTAGTACTGGCTTCATATGTGAGTTTGGAGCATTCCTTCATTTTCCATTGTATGGAATAGTCTGGAAGCATTGGTATTACTTCTTTCAAATCTAGTAGAATGCAGTGAATCCATCTGAGCTGGGATCTCTCCTTCTCCTTCTTCTTCTTCTTCTTCTTCTTCTTCTTCTTCTTCTTCTTCTTCTTCTTCTTCTTCTTCTTCTT